GGGGGTTGGCATAGCTTAAAGTTATGGGTAATAGAATGCTGGAAGAATGGGCCGGTGAGGGGGACATAGAAAGGGAGTAACGTGTGTAAGGAAGTGATTTGGGGGGGAGGGGGATGGGGGAGGATGTCCATAACGGAAAGATTTATGATTATTACGAAGACACGCTGGAGAGGTGGACGGGAAAGATAGAAAAAAGAAAACTCTGAAAGAAAAAAGAATTGCTATAAAAGCTTGGTAGCCTGACTGGGTGGCTGAGGGGATCCTGTAGGGGTGTCCAATCGATTTCCGAGGATGGAAAAAGAAACTTTGGGTTGTCTGGGAGTTGGTCAAGAGTCTTGGGTTCGTCATTCAATTTGCTTTGGCCTTCTGCTGAAAGCCTTTTGGGGCTTCTCCTGTTACTCACCGTGTTTTTTGTTTCTCCTTTTTTGTTTTGTTTGGTCGGTTCGAATGAGTGGTTGGAAGGTGCTCTGGTGTGGTTTGCTCCTTCTTTCCTAAGAAATTTCTGGTGTCCTTGTCACTCTTCCCTTTTTTCTTTGTATGTTACTACTATTTAGTAACACCTATAACTTTTAAAAATGTATCCGTGATGTAAGCGCCGTAAAACCTTTACGAAAACGGAACAAATATAAAGCTAATCTGTTGGTTGGGTCGCGGATGCTCTGATGTGGTTTGCTCCTTCTTTCCTATCAAACATCTATCGTTTGTTACTCTCTGGTAACACCTCTACACATTCGGCACTTATTACTGTAAACCCTCTATGCTAAAACTAAACTAAAAAGCTAATCTGTTGGTTGAATCCCTAATACACACCACCCACTTGCTTCCTGTTTTTGTTCAGAGTGCAGACAGTTCACGAGCCACAAGCCAATAACATTGGTCAATTCTGTAAGTAGGTCAGGCAAATTGACTCTCGGTGGTCAGTGATGTACACACACACACGCACGCACATACGCACGCACACACTCTCTCTCTCTCTCTCACACACACACACATACGCGCATACACACAAACGCACACGCACGAACACACACACACACACACACACACACACACACACACA